CCTCCCTCCCTCCCTCCCTCCTTCCTTCCTTCCCTCTCTTCTTCTTTTTGAATTGGAAAATAATGTGTCTTCTCTTGGTGTGGATCTCTTTTGAGTCTATTGTCTTGGCACTCAGATATTATAATTTGCAAATTTTTATTCTTCTGTATGTAAAATATCTGAAGTATTTCTGATGATTTCCTCCCTTCCATTTTCTTCCATTCTTCTGAATTCTCATTATTTGAATATTGAATCTCCTAGACTGACAGTCTGTTATAGATTGAATATTTGTGTCTGCCCCAAAACTCATGTTATAACCTAATCCCCAATGTGATGGTATTTGGAGGTGGAGCCTTTAGGAGATGATTAGGTCATGACGGTAGAGCCTTCATGGATGGAAATGGTGCCCTTTTAAGGTGTTGAGGAGACCAGAGCACCCTGTTTCCCCTTGTGAAGTTACAGTGAGAAGGTTGTTCTGTGAACCAGGATGCTAGTCCTCAGTACACACTGAACCTGCCAGTGCCCTGATCTTGGACTTTCCAGCCTCTAGAATTGTGGGAATTAAGTTTCTGTTGCTTATAAGCCTTCCAGTCTATGGTATTTGTTATAGCAGTCCAAACAGACTAAGGTAATCTCTAAATTTTATTTTCTCTCTCCCCTCCCTCCCTCCCTCCTTCCTTCCTTCCCTCCTTCTTTCTTTCCTTTCTTGAGAGATTTTGTTTTCAGGGAGATCTCAGCTCACTTCCAACTTGCCTATTGAGTTTATTGTTTCTCTTACCATATTTTTAATTCTCAAGGGCTCTTTTTGGTTTCTAAATATACTTTAAAAGTAGCATCCTGTAATTGTTTCATGAATGCTGCATTCTACCATCTATTTTATCCTCTCTAGAGACCCATTTTCTACCAGGTTGGAGAAGAAAGAATAACCTGAATATATGAAGTAAGTGAGGGGATCTAAGATTCTAACTTCTTAAACAGACTTTCAACCAATCTGTTATTTTAAAAACCATCTTTTCCTTTACTTCCAAAGCATCTGGTGCTTCCAACTACTGGAGTGTTTTCAGGGATCAGCAATGCAAGTTGGGTTGCTTATTGGCTTTCGTCACTGCCAATTTAGAATACAGCTCTCTCAGGGCTGGTAGATCCATTAACATTCATTCTGATTTTCAAATTCTGATTTTTCTCAATTTGTCTGCTTTTGCAATTGTTTTTTTCTCCTATTTTCTTTGTTCTCATGGTATCATTCCTTTAAAAAAATTCTGTAAACTGTTGTTTAAGTAGGGTTTTTATAAGGATTAGGATAAAGATGTATGTTTAGTTGACCTTATTTAACATCTTTACTTGGAATGGCACCACACATCTTTATGAGCAATTCAGTTATAATCATCCTCCCAATTCTCCTCACTTGACTTGGGGGTAGGGGAAGATAGTACAAAGAAAGAAAACCCTCTCAACACAAACAGGACATTTCTTAGAGAATTGAGCACTCTCCACCATTCCCCAGTTGGTGGTTGCAGACCTGTTTCTATATCCTATTAGAAAATTGGTGTTAAGGGTCTCATTCTAATTTTTTTGTTTTGTTTTAGAATTTTGCATTTAATTTTGGGCTTTGCACGTTAGCTAAAATTCTGAGATGACAGGGAAAATGCCACTCAATATCCTATTACATACTTAACTGGTTATTATTTCTTTCCTAAGAAGTCTTTTCTTCCCTAAGTTAAATTATAGAGTTGTTCTGAGTAATCAAGCCGTTGATAGTTACTTTGTTTGGTTTTCTTTCACCTGTGCCTTTTGATTATCTCATATCTTTGGCCTTAAACATAAAAGTAGGGACAGATTTTTTGTTTTTGTGCTCTCACAAACTTATGCAGATCTTCAAATGCGGTTTATCTGGGGCTAAGAATGCATATATCATCCTAAATGAAGATCGGATTAGGTGTATTTCATAACGTATGATTCTGTGTGTTAAAGAGTGGAAGTATTGAATTAGGACTTGTAGGAAAAATCCTTGTATAAGACTTTCAATCAAATCAAATAGATCATACTTATTGTATTTTAAAGTATTTCATTTTTCTTTTCTTACCTTTTAAATATTTAATGGCTTAAGACAACTTTAATACTATTCTAATCCCTTCAACATATACACATACATCATAAATTCTCAGGACATAAGGTTAAATGGTATCATAACTGTAAATCATTTCCCTTTTTAATGCTCCCTGATTCCATTTAAGGAACTCACCCTGGGACTGTATCTATTTCTAGCAATAATAGTTTTTATTCGTTGTCATTGTTCTTTTATATTGTTCTTTTTTTTAAAGATTTTATTTATTTGATAGAGAGAGATCACAAGTAGAGGGGAAGTGTAGAGGGAGAAGCAGACTCCCCACTAAGCAGGGAGCCCGACTTGGGACTCAATCCCAGGACCCCGGGATCATGAACTGAGCCGAAGGCACGCTCAACTGACTGA